TAGGGCAGAGACAGCGGCAGAGGACGGCGGCACGGTAGGAGGCGGGGTCCCACGGGTGCCCTTAAGGCCTTGGGGCTAATTTGTTTGTCTTTTCTTTCTCCAGCTCCTGTCCTGCGCGGATGCTGTCGAGCGTGGCCCGCAACAAACGTAGACGAATGAGGCGGGCCTTTCTTTCGATCATGAGAACTTCATGGCGGATATTGGCGGGGAGCCTCGCACGATTGGCAGCGTATCCAGCGAATTCGTCCCCGACGAGGTCGCCGAGCACGTAGTACCTGACTGTCTTGCCCTCCACATCACTGGCCGTCACATGGAAGTGTGTTCACAGGACGGCGATCGCATCATGACATCTGTTGCGCATGAGCTGCCCCATCGTTTTCCCTAGGTCCGTGCCAACACCTGCTGGGTTCAATACAATCGAGTGTACCATTCCGCCACAACATAGTCACAATCGCTGGCATACGTTCGGGATCGCGTGGTGCTCCATAACTCGAGATATGAGGCATACAATTCACCTCGTGCCACAACTTGGCGTAATCGTCCAAGTGGACCGAACATTGTGCCCCGAATGTCAATGTCAGGGAGGTCCTGGTTAAAGCAGACGATGGCGACGCCGACCCTGCGCAGGCGTGGCAGTGCCGTGTCCTCGCCGCCGCTAGCGTCCCCGAAGATCTCCACTGGACAGTGTTCGCTGCCTGCTCTTAAGACTTCCTGCTCGGTGCTGTCGATGCCCGTGTAGTCGAGAGGGGGGTCGTCCTCAGGCTCAGGAGCAGTTAGCCATTGCTGCGGGATGAGGCCCCGCAGCCAACCGCACTCCGACAGAGTGTGTTGGGCCAGCGCCTCAGGAGCCAGGGGCGCGGATCGTGTGTAAGGCAGAGCGTCAGAAGTATTCTCGCACTTCCAGAAACGATGAAGTGGCGTTTCGGGGTGTTGGCCATATCTTTCACGCACGTTGCTGCCTTTGTCATATTTCTATTCACCCTGGCGGCGTTGGCGGGTCCAGAAGCCGCCAACACCGATGTTTACAAGGATCTCTGACATTCTGGTTCCATGTCGCAGTTGGCTCACTCGGTAGGAGTCGGAAAGAAGCATGGTCGGCTCCCGTCTCCAGTCCCCCCCCACCCCCGCAGGGGTGCTTCGCCGCCCGCCGCCACGCCACCAGTTCCGCTGACCTTCGGATGTCCCGCAGTAGGTCCCTGTGGGTGTCCTGGTGTGGGCTGCCGATGTAACTACTATCTGGCAATTGTTATTCTTCATCGGAGGCGCGGCAGTGCGAGGACGGTTGCCGAGATCGGCCCTCGCACGGCACGGGCCTGCAATGGAGGTCCAGTGGTACGCATGTGGGCAGACATTTTGGGCCCGGCCGTGCGGATATCTCGCCGTAGGTCTGGATGTTGCTGCCATGTGGTGAGCCACTGGTCGGTGCACGTGGCAGGACGCGCGATTGCTAGGTCTGTTTTTCCACAGGTCCGTGGGCCGAGAACCGTAGTGAGGCATCTACCTCGGGTGCCCGCTTCACATACCTGTCCCAGTCGGCGTCTGCATACTTGCAATGGGTTTTCAAACCTTCCGTGGATCTGAAATCCATAAGCCCCAGCAAGGTGGCACCCGTTGCGCTCCCGCAGCATGATGCTGTAGCGCTTCGGGGCACGAGTGAATCGCTTGACCTTGGCAGACATGGTCGAACGCTTGGCCTGGCGCTGTGTGCGCGTGGCCCTGCCCGTCCGCCCGCAACTGAAATCACCCCCCACGTATGGCGCCTGGTGCGTCACCTTGACTGGATAGCCTTGCAGCCCTGCGGAACGGGCCACTGCAGATGCCTGGGAGGAAGTGCTACACATGATGAATGATGACTACTTCTTGGCCAATTTGAGGCCCACTTTGGTAGGCTCTTTCCTAATTTTCACCACCCATCGGACCTTCTTGGTGTGAGCAGCCTGGCGACTGCCCGTTTTCTTCTCACGCATGTCATCTGCACAGGCCCGACGGGTCAGCAGTGGAGTTGCCGCAGTGACGGCCACAGTGGTGAGAGTTTTAGCGAACCTAGTGTGATGGGCCTGTTTTCCACCACCACCACCATATGTTGGAGGGGGAGGGGGTCCTCCTCCTCCTCCTCCTCCTCCTCCTCCTCCTCCTCCTCCTCCTCCTCCTCCTCCTCCTCCTCTTCGTCCTCCTCCTCGTCGTCCTCCTCCTTCCCCCGTCCAACTTATGGTGGTGGTGGTGGTGGACAAACAGGCCCATCACAGTGTCCGCGCGCAGCCCTCGGGTGGCGGACACTGGCAGGGTTCCAAACTGTCCGCGCGCTGCGCCCTCCCGGGCGAGAGCGTGCGCGCCGAAGCGCACGGCAGCAGCTCGAGAGGTGCGGGGCCATCGGGGGAAGGTGCGGAGGAGGAGGAGGAGGAGGAGGAGGAGGAGGTGCTGTTTCAGGGCAGCCTTTGCCAACGGAAGCCATGGGATGGTGCCAGGGAGCTCCTTCGCGTCTAGTGCCCCTTGTCCAAACTGCGTGCGATGTCAGTGCGCGAGCTCCTCGTGGCGTGGAGGCAGGCGTCGCAGAGACAGGAGTTGCCTGCCCGTGCTGCGTCCCACGTGCTAGCCTCATCTGCGCTCCACTGGCGTACCTTTGGTTCCCAGGTGCACGATGATACTCGTCCTGGCATCGATATCATGCCGGTGCCGCAGCTTCTTGACATGCGTCGATTCATGTTCCGTGATATCGGCTGGGTGGGTTAGGGCGTCATCCTCAATCTCCGGGTCCAGCGCAGGCAGCTCGTTCATTATCAGAGACTTGTGAAGGATGCCGAGGGCCTCAGGAGTGGAAGCAAAGGTTTTGAATTCAGCCGCAGATTATCGCGCTGCCGCCCCCTGCGCCCGCGCTGCACGTCTCGTGGCCGCAATCGCAAAGTTTTCCAGCGCCCAACTTTTGATGCGCGAGGGTTTGGTTAATATCGATGGCCGCTGCTCCCAAGTCGCCTCCTGTCCAGCGCGCAGGAAGACATGTGCCCCGTCTGGTCGTGGGGCCCGTTGGGCTTGGCCTGCTGCGTCAGATTCCTCAAGTTCTCGGCATCCATTGTCTCGACTGAGGTGGCGAAAGGTGCCTGCGAGGATGGTGTGGGCGCGCGTCCACCGCTGGCTACGTTGGTCACGTTGGGCGAGCTCTCGCACGCGGGTTGCGACTCGCATGGGTTTCTCGACGATTTTGGGGCCTTCTGCGCGAGGTGGTCCAATGTGGCGGCCTGGTGTCATCATGATGGTTATGGATAGCATTCTCCACAGCTGTCACCCATGCCGCGCGCTGTCCTGCGAGGAGCTGGCTAGCTCGGGGATCGAGCCTAAATGCTACGGAGGAGGACAGGGCGGGGGCTGGCCGCCCAGCGCAGCGGATCCTGACCTGAATCCGACCTGCCGCCGAACATCAGTCCACGTCGCAGCGGGGATTTCAAGCGCGGGGCCAGGGGCATCTTCGATCAGCGAGCCGCCAAGGGCAGGGGCACCCCGCTGGGGGGGGTCAGGTCTAGCTTCTACTTCAGACGAGGGTGGGAACCCCGCCGAGGGCTTAAGGGGTTTGACTTCGCACGCCTGGAAACTTAGGCACAGGTTTCTCTTCTGCTGCAGTCTGAACGCCGTCCGCGCCAACGCCCGCAGAGACCCTTCTGCGCGCGAGCTGCGAGTCCTTGCAAACGTTGGGTTCGCGCGCCCACGGGCCTTTCTCTTCTTCGTGGTCGAACGCATCAACGTCCTGAGCCTCCTCCACAGCTTTCTGGGACGCGCCGGCCCCAGGGTTGGCGCCGGTGGTGGGGCCTTCAAAGAGATCGCCGAACGTCTCTCGGAAACCGTCGATCCTGCGGGCGAGGGGGGCCTGGCGTCTGGCAGTCGGCCCGGACGTGGCCGGGCTGTATTTGGAGCTGGGCGCGGGCTCGCATTTGGGTCTCGGGACCTGCGGGGGCCTGGCAGGTAGGCCGACTTCCCGAGCCCTCAGAAGTTGACCCGGTGCCCTCGAGGAAATGGACAAACCCGCGTGAGGCTTCCAGGGGACACTGCGAATCATTGGGACACTCTGCGCAAGTGGAATTGCACTGGGGCTCAGGAGAAGATCACCGATCATCGTGTCATGGCCGTTTTTCTGCGCGCGAGTGCCCTCGATTCCAGGCGGCTGGCGGATGATCCCGCCTGTCTCCTTGTAGAAGGGGCGTGCTGCGCAGCTGCTCTGGCGTGGTGTCGAAGTCGCCCACGACCGGCCGCGGGATGCGCAGGGCGCGCACTAGGCCTCCCAGCTTTGAGGAACGATCCAGATTCCTGCCAGTCACCTGAATGGAAGGGTGAGCGCACAGGGTCACCGGGACCACGGCGTAGCTGCGCTGCGACAAGATCATCGGGCCGAAGCCGTCGTGCGCCGAACGGCCGGCGGCCCGAAGGAATCTAGCTGCAGCACGCGCGCCAGGTAGTTGTCGAATCTAGAAGTGCTCTTTCTTTGGGCAAAAGCATCTCGCCACTCTTGTTGGTCCTGGCCTCTTTCTCATCATACAAGGTCTTGGCGGAGCGGCGAGCCGAATCCATTGTCGTGCGAAGGTGAAGTGCGCGTGCCGCCTTGTCCCTCTTCATGATCTCGGGCTCCTCGTGGACATGGGTCCCTACCATGGCCCAGTGGTCGTGGCGACGTGCGTGCTGAGTCGCATATTTCCACGTTTGTCAGTTAGGCTTGTAAGTTTGGCGTCGAATAACGACGTGCGTTCTCCATCGCCAGTTTGCGCCCTCCCAGTGTGGCGGGTTTGGGGGGTCCCCGTGCTTGGCCGTCAAGCTATAGGACTGGCAGCGGCCGCGCTTGTAGCCGTGCCCTTGCCCTGCGCCTTCGCGGCCTCGCTCTTCGTCTTGGATTTCGCATCCGAGGGCAGCTTGGCCTCCTGCGCGGCGGCGGCCTCCTTCGGGTCCTTCTCGGCCGCGGAGGGCTCAGCTGGCGCCGCAGCGGCAGGCTGCTGCTCAGCGCCCTGCGCCTCGGCTGCCAC